CCTGTGATGTTATTATAGTTAGCTAAAAATAAAAATAAAACCAGAAAATACACATTTTTGTTACTTGAATTAAATAAACTAACTCAAATTAAATATAAAAAATCTAACTTTTTTATTTTATTTCATCTAGTCGGCAAGGCACCATTTCTCATATTCATTTAACTTGTACTAAAACAAATAAATATACACATATTAAAAAAACTAATTAAATTAACAAAATTAATAACTAAATGTAAGGGGTTAAAATGCAGAATATTTTTTGTAACTTTCAGGAATTTTTTTAGGCCTGAAAATCACAACTGTCAACATTATAAATATAAATACATAAACATTCTAATTTCTTGAACCTCTTTAAATTATATATATATATATATATATTCAATAAACAGTTGTTACTTAAATGAAAATAAACATGAACTGAAATACAATGTTTAAAAATGTACACATTTTATTTCAATTGGTTGCCAACACACCATTTTTCATATTCATTAAAAAAATTTAAATAAAAAAAATTAAATAAAAAAAATAAATATATACACATTAAAAAAGCTAATAAAAATGCTAAAACTTTAACTATAATGTATACATAACTTTAACTAAAATGTAAAATATAAAAAAACTATGTTAATAAAAACTATAACAGTATATAAATAATCCTGAAAACAAGAGGGTCAGAAAAACTCTTTCTGTCTTCAGGATGGATGTGGATTTTTATTCGCTGAACTTTAGGTGCACTACTGAGCAAGCGTTTGTGCCCTGATCAGTGTGTGTGTGGTGGTTTCTCTTGGAGGTTTGGCTGGAGTGTGTTCTCTGCATTCTGCTGACGAAGATCAACTCTATCCGAACTCTACAGCATGTGGGTGAGTGTGTGTTTGCAGGAAACTCGAGGGTTCGTGGAGTTTATTGTTGGTGAGAGCAGCATGCAGAACACAACAGCCAATCAGCATGCTGCACACATCTCAGCATTCACCTCTCAGAGACGTTAATACAACACCATGCCTGGGGAAGTTAGAAGTATAAAGAAGTATAAAGTACCTTGACACCCTCGTTGTAACTGTCCACAGGGTTCAGGTTGGTCAGGTGACTCGGAGCGCCGGGACGGGGCGGCTTCTTTGGAGGAGCCACAAGTTCTGTTGGACACGGGAGGAATCAAATGATTCTGTTATAAAGCAATTCTGATTGGATGAAACACATTCAAATCTGGCGATAAATGCACACCATTCTATATTAATGCCACAAACTGCAATGTTGCCTGACAACTGCAAACCTCTTTGGCATCCTCCTTAAATGATCATATATATATATATATATATATATTACAAAATAACAAATAACTAAAGCTACATGCAAAAAATAATAAAAATGACCCCCCCAAAAAAATTACTAAAACTTTAACATTAAACTGCAAAATTTCTATACTAAAATTCTAAGTTTAATAATAAAATTTCTAGCATTAAATATTACAATTATATATTTGAGACTTTTTTTAAATAACTAACACCAGAAATTTCCAAAACATTTTAGCAACTATTGTGATGTTTTTTAGGTCTGAAAATCACAACTCTCAAAATGATATTCCCAGGTTTTTCATGACCTGGTAAACTCTGGTGCCAGAGACATCATTGATCAGTCATTGTATAACTTGTATTGAAAAAGTGCATTCATGACCGGCTGTGTTCGTACCTGCTTTACCCACGGGGTGATAAATGTGCTGCTTCCCCATCTGAAACAAAACACAAACAAGCGTTTAAAACAGCTCCTCCTCTGGTCTCTGGTTTTACAGCACACTGGGTTCATGCTGCCCACCGGGGCCCTGTGGAATTGTGGGTAGTTTGTGGGAAAGCCAGGCATATTTCAGGTTCTCAGAGACTGAATCCAAAAATGAGTTTGACCCTCGAGTCGCTGGATCTGCTGTAATTATGGCCTGTAAACGAGGCTGCTTTGTGGTGCTCTTATGAAATGACGCCTGTTTTTCACTCTTTACACATCAGAGATGATGATCTGCCACAGAAAAACCCCACGATGCCCCTTTAATTGCCCTTCCCTGTGTGATTTCTCCTCTCAGGCTCTCAGAGTTCAGCTCTAAATGAATTCCTGTCCGCTGGTGTTTGAGGCTGTTTTTCATCTGTTTGGAGGATTCTGGCCGAGTGTGATCGGCATTACTGGCTGCGACTCTGACAGGAAGTGAGAAACAGTCCTCGCCGTGGCACTGTAAATCTCCCTCAGGGAAGAAACAAAAACAAGCAGGGAATTATTGGAAGTCACTAGGGCTGCCCCCTAATAGTCGACTAACCGTTAGTCGACCAGAAGAGGCTTATAATTTTATTAGTCGCTTAATCGCAGAAAATAAATGAATAAATAAATAAAAATCCACATTGGCCTCTGTTATTTTTGCTCATACAAATAAGAGTAATACAAACAAGACTCTATGTTTATTTTTGTGCACTCACAATAACATCAAAACATTGCACTTTTGTAAAATAATGAAAGCAAACAGGATGCGCTTTCTGCCGTCTCGGTCTCTGTGAACTTGAACGCGAAACTCCAAAACTCCGTGCATGTGTGTCTTACAGACATGAAAGAAATATATCTATAGAGAGCAAAATGTCAGCTTTCAAATAAGCCAATTCAAATGAAAAACAAATAATCTCAGATTATGTAATCCGTATTAAAAGTGCAGACAGGCGCATCCACTGCTGCAAAGACGACGAGTCAGTGTCGCCGACCTTATCTCTTAAACCGAGAACAAAGAAAGCACTAGTTTATCAATAAATTCTTAAAATGTTAATGCAGCCTCCTTACTGTTTTTCCCTGACACATTCATAATCATTACTTCTTCTGTCGCTGTGCTGTGGCAAGCTTATGCGTGTGCTTGAGCGCTTATAGGCTATGTAGGCAATTAAAGGCTCATTATTATAATTTAAATAGGTTATTAATAAACGTGCGATTAGTCGACTAATGCTTCAAATGAACGACTACTAGTCGGCCAGAAAAATCTTTAGTCGGGGGCAGCCCTAGAAGTCACTCACCGGGGCCTGGAGAGTGCTGTCCTCACGGTCGATGCTGCCCCTCGAGTTCCTCGACTCTGGCTTCTGAACAAATAACAAACCATCATTCAAATAAACGGATTCATGATTCAAATCATGCATCATTACAAAGAAAAGGATTTGTTAAATCTTTATGAGATAAGCATTCATCTGATTATGTCATCATCATCCCCACATCACATGACTGATGAATTCCATTGACTTTTCCAGTCGTTTATGATTACTGGATTAAAATTCAACAACAATATCAAAAACAACAATAAAAACTGAAAAATGTGAATGTATTTCAATTTAGAAAAGTAATAGAGCATTTATAGAGTGATTTCTAGTCACTAAAATATTTTACAAATATTTGATTTTATATTTTTATGGAAGAGATTTCTGCAATTTTAAAAATGAAAAAAATTTCACACAAAATTAAAAAAAAAAATACAAACATACAAATACAAACATACATACACACTAACAATAGCTAGTACTAACAATAATAATAAACACTGTATTTTTTTTTAAATATCTGTCATTTATTTATAACAATTGTTTAATTGCTTTTAAATATTATATTTAAAACTTAACTTGATTTTTTAAATGTTAAAACTTTAAATCTTATTTTCACTGATTTTTTTCATGACGTTAAGATTATCTTAATTTGCAAACTTTTTATAATAATAATAATAACAACAACAAACATTTTAATATTTATTTAACTGTAAAATGTTATCAATATTTAGAGCTATTGTTTAAAATGTATACATCATATATATATATATATATATATATATATATATATATATATATATATAATATAACAACTTCCATATAACTTATTTTTACTTTAGAAATTTTCATAACTTTTTATATATTATATTATATTAATTTGTATGACTTTTCCAGGCTTGGAAATCACAAATTTAAAATGTCCTAAAATCTCACAGTAAAACTAAAATACATACATGCATACTAATACTACTACTAATAAAAAATTCATATTTATATATGTCTGTAATATATTTTATAAATATTTAGTCCTTTTTTTCCTAAATGTTATATTTAAATATTTAATGTGTAAAACTATTATTTATTTTTGCTCTTTACTATTTATTTTTTACTTTTTAAGATTACATTAATTTGCATGACTTCCAGGCTTGTAAATCAACATTTTAAAATTCCCTAATATATCCACTTTCTGATCTGATGGATCTCAAGGCTTCACAAACCACACAGGAGGAGCAACAAACTTCAAAACTCATCAAAACAAACCAAACAAATAATGCAGCGAGTTCTTGCTCAACAACACATCTACAAAAGCTCAACAACATCATCCCTCACTGTGCAAGTCTAGTTACCGTCTTTCCCAAACAGAACTTGAAGAGATGCATCCCGTGTGCGGAGCGTCTGAGAGCGAGGAAAGAGCGAGTTGTGTGCGTTTCCATGAGAGCTGTGAGTCTTGAGGACACTCAGAAGAGCCTGGCTGCACAAACTGTCAGCAGCAGATTCCTGCTCTCTCTCTCTCTCTCTCTCTCTCTCTCTCCCTCTCTCTGTGAATGGTTTTCCTCTCTCAGACTCCCTCACATGTCTTTTCCTCTCGGTCTGTCCTCTCTCTCACATCCCACGCTTTCCTTTCCTCCCACTGGTTTTACACAAACAGAAGAAGCTGCTGAGCTCGCATCTCACTCACACAACACATACTGCTTGAAAATAATAATACGCAGTATGCAAATGCGTATGCATGGACAACCCAGACGAATGTCTGAATTTGCCAAGGATACAACTGCATGGAATACTGCATCCCACAATGCATTGCGCTCGATTTGACTTTCCATTCCCAGTGCAGTGAATGAAGCGCAAGTGATATCGGTCACATTTTTTGCTTCCTGCGTCTTACTTTCTGTTATTAAATTAGACTGCAAGACATTTTTATGCAAAACTTGATTTTAAAAAATGCAAAAGCACTAGATTTGATTTTGCCAGATTTTTTGGTTTATTACTCTAAAGCTGCTTTGAAACAATTTGTACTGTAAAAATCAAGGTTATTATAGTTAACTAAAACCATTTAAAGAAATATTTTCATTACTTGAAATATAATAAATGTTAACGGAAATAAAATATAAAAAAAACTATTAATACAAACACTACAAAGCTAGTTGCCAAGGCAACATTTCTAATTTTCATTTATTTTAACTTGATGTACTAAACTACAATTAAAAAAATAATAAAAAAATATACAGCAAAATATATAATAATAATACATTATATATATATAAAAAACAAATTAAAATAAAAAATTTAAAAAAATTAATAAATTACAAAAACTTTAACTAAAATTACAATTAAAATTTGAAATATAAAAACTACTTAGAATGTTGATTAAAAAGTATAATATGTAAATGATACTAAAATAACACTGGTAAAAAGTGCCATTACTGGACTACCAAAAATAGGAAATGGCACGATACATAAACCGTTTATTAATTAAACATCTAAAGTAAAAATAATTATATTTTGATGTGTACCGTTAATGTGATACGGAA